CTTGGAGAACGGGAAGCAAAACCTTGTGAGGTTTGCTCGACCATATGTGGCTGCGTCAACGTAGTGGTGCGAGTTGCCCCGTCCCTGGTGATATGCAGGCTAAGCTAGTGTTACAGCTCACCAAGTTCAGAGCAAGTGTGTCTCCTCTGCAACTCCTCCGTCACGGAGGCCAGTGCTCTGCGGTCAGTCGTAACAAAGACCAGGTCATCGAATAGACCAGAACAAAGAACGGGGTCGAGGTACGACGAACGAACAGTGGCGGGTCAGCAAACGACGGAAGGAAACCAAGTGCTGCAAGAGTCGTGCAGAGCCAGTCCTGCCACTTGTGGGGCACCTGGCACAGGCCGCAGACCGGTCGACGCAACTGCCACTAGGTCCCAGCAGGGAATGAGCCAGTGAAGCTAGGTGGAAGACGCGGCCAGATTTGCTCGTGCAGGCTCCCCTGAAGGAACCTAGTGGAGAAGTCCAAGGAGTGCAACTCGTAGTCATGCTGTGCTGCAACGTGCAGAAACGCCTGAAGAGAGGTCATCTTCAGGGTGGGAGGGAAGGTCGGGAAGAAGTCTATCCTCTCTCGTTGACTGAAGCCTCTCGCCACGCAGGGCACCTTGAACATCGGTTGTGCCCCAGGCAACCGCTTCACCCTATAAAGCCGCATGCCACTGACGACCTTTGCCCCAGGTGGTGGGACTGCGTCGACATAGGTGCCTGTGGACCGATGAAATGCCATCTCTGCCTCCTCAGCTGCTATCCAGTACACGGGCCAAGGTCTAGCGATCGCATCAGAGTGAGTGCAAGGGGTCAGGATGTCAAGGGCGACTGGATCCCCCTCAGAGGCAAGCGGCATGGAGCAGAGATGAGGAACAGCGGCCGCAAGGAGACCAAGCTTGACTGCTTGTCTTGCATGACCTCCTGGTAAAGACTGGAGAGCCCCCAGTAGACGGAGAACAAGCGGGACCACTCACCAGATGAGAGGCGTCTTCTAGCCAGTGAGACAAGGCAAAGGCACTGAGAGTAGCGACCATGGCTGAGACAGACATCGGAGGAGCAGCCGGGTGTGCGACAACGAGGATTGAACATGAGAGACAATGGGACGAGTAGCACGACGGGAGTCTGAAACCGGGTCGGACGGGACAGGAAGAGACGACGCAGGAGGCGACGAGAGACGCAAACGGGGTGGAACACGGGGACGGAGAACAAGGTGAAACGGATTGTCGGCACGGTAACGGGACAGACGAGACTCTCAAGACACAGCACGACTGAGAGGAGTACGACGAGACCACGGGGATGACTCCAGTAATGGGTCAAGTTGAACATGAGGAAGAGACGGCAACGGACCATGAACGAAGCGTGCAGGTGCAGAGTCAATAAGGTCATTTATTCGCTGATGCTCTGCCTCCTCTTGTGTCTGCTGCGGCTGCGCCTGCTCCTGCTACTGCTCCTGCTGTGCCTGTAGTGGGGGTAGCAGCACCTGCGGCTGGACAACGGGATCATGTAGCATCAACAAGCACGAGGGGCTCATTAAATTACCTGCACGGACACCTGACTACATCCAAGCCCCGTGCGTCAAAGCTATCACTATAGCTCGCCACTTCAACAGGGGCGCGCAGCTGTTCCCTATTTGCTTACGAGAGTTGGCAGTTGACACCGACAGGAAGGACATCGAGAAGTTGTGTGTAGCTGTACCGCCGGATTTAGCAGAGCTGATACAAAGGTACCCTGACATTTTCCCGACGATCTGCCACCTGGACTGCCACCCGAGAGACCTGAGGACCACAAAATCAGCTGGAGCCCGGCGCGCAGCCGACTGTTCGGACACAGTGGCGGTTGACCCAGCCGTAACTCGAGGAACTGCGAAGTCAAATTGATGCACTGTTGGAGAAAGGGTTCATCCGGGCGAGCACATCTCCCTTCGCGGCACCGACCCTGTTCACTCCGAAGAAAGACGGCGGGCTTCGCATGTGCATCGACTATCGCGCGTTGAACCGGGTGACCATCAAGTCTCGCTACCCAATCCCACGAACCGACGACCTCCTCGACCAACTTTGCGGCGCTCGCTATTTCTCGAAGATTAACTTACGTGGCGGTTCCCACCAGATTCAAGTCTTCGCCGACGATTGTCACAAGACTGCGTTTCGCACACGCTACGGGAGTTACGAATTCACGGTGATGCCTTTCGGCCTCACGAACGCGCCTTCGATATTTCAGTTGACAATGAACAGGGTTTTTTCGGGACCTTCTAGACCGATGTGTTATCGTCTACTTGGACAATATCCTCATTTTTAGCAAGACACGGGAGCAGCATCTACTTGACGCAGTATTTAAGCGGTTGTAGGAGAATCGACTCATCACCAAGGGCTCTAATTGCGAGTTTTTTAAGCAGGAGTTGGAGTTTTTGGGCCACGTCATCTCACGCGACGGCATTAAAATCGACCCAGCGAAAATCAAGACCATACAGGAGTGGAACTCTCCGACGAACGTCAGGGAACTACAGAGTTTTCTGGGGTTTGTGAACTACGTCAGTCGGTTTATCCTGAATATGGCGGGGATAACCGGCCCGCTGACCTACTTGCTGCACAAGGACAGAAATTTTGTGTGGGGGGAGGAGGCAGAGGCGGCTTTCCAGGAGCTGAAGATTTTTCTCGTTTCCCCTCTTGTGCTGCGCATCACCGACCCATCGAAGCCATTCGAAGTTATCACCGACGCCTCTAATTTTGCCATCGGAGCTGTGCTACGGTCACACGTTCTTCACGACTGGAAATCATCAGCAGGCCACGACGCAGAAAGGGGATTATTACCTGAAGGCCGGAACTGACCGGGTTTGGGTTCCCGCTTACCGGCTGCTGCGTGAACTCCTTATCCAAGAGGTCCATGACATTTCGGGGTTGACAAAACCTTGAAATTGTTGCACCGTCAATATTACTGGCCTGACTCCTCCAACGACGTGCAGCGATATGTGTCCTCATGCAGGGTGTGCCAAGCAATGAAATCGACACGTCAACGACCAGCTGGGCTGCTGCAACCCCTCGAGCCACCCGAACGACCGTGGCAGCAAGTGATAATGGATTTTGTCACGGGGATGCCAGCTGGACCGTTTGGCAATGACGCTGTCCTCGTCGTAGTCGATCGCCTCACGAAAATGGCGCACTTCGCACCGTGTCGTACAACAATCACAGCCGAGGAAACTGCGCGCCTCTTCATTTCAACGGTCGTGCGACTTCACGGAATCCCTTCGGCGATCATCAGCGACCGAGATCCAAAGTTCACATCGAAGTTTTGGTAGGAAACGTGGGCGCAGTACGGCACGAAACTACAGTTCTCATCAGCATACCACCCGCAAACGGACGGCCAGACCAAGCAGACCATTCAGACCATGGAGCAGCTGATCAGGGCAAACTGCCCCGACCCTGCCCGCTGGGAAAACTCGCTCGCCATGTTGGAGTTTGCATTCAACAACGCTCCGTCCAGCACGACTAATCACTCCCCGTTTTTCCTTAATTACGGGATGGACCCAACGGTGCCTACAGCGACTACACTCGACAACCGGTCCCGAGGTCACAAACATTTGTGACGGAACTTCACAAACACAATTGCGGACGCAATTCGCAAGGCGAATATCGCTTCCCGAAAATACACCGACCTTCTACGACGGGAAGTCGTCTTGACAGCTGGGCAACTAGTGCTCCTTGACACGAAGAATCTACACCTGCCCGGCCCGTCGAAACTCCGGCCACGATTTTGTGGGCGTTTCAAGATTATCCAGATGGTGACACCTGTCACCGCGAAGCTGTTGCTACCTGACGACTGGCGCATCCATGACGCCTTCCACGGCAGCCTGCTTCGAAAGTTCGTGCCAGCCACGACAGACATCGCAAGACAAAATGTTGCCCCAACAGCACGACCTGTTCCGGAGCCGACTCTTGACCCATCGAAGATTCTGGCGCATCGGGTTCGCCTTGACGCAGCTGGTCGCCACGTGGACTTCCTCATCCGTTGGACTGATCGTACCAATGAAGACGACACGTGGGTGCAATCCGCCTCGCTGGACGCCTCACCACTTGTTGGTGATTACCTGGCGCGCAAGCGTGTTCCGGATATTGACCTCCTTTCTTAAGGAGGGGGGTAGTGTAAGGATATTTTTCGAATTCCTTATCGGGGTTGACTGCTTCGCGTACAGCCCCGATTTTCGGGCTTTGCACGTTCGGCCAATCTCAACGATGCCGAGGCTCCTCGCGTCGCCTTCGGCATTTCCCATCGCCAAACCTGCACCCATCCTCGCTTTTCCGAGGTTCCCTCCTAGCTAGGCTAGCTCCTAGATTAGTCTGTGCCTTCATTGTATTCTGAGTTCATTCAATCACTGTCTCGTTAAAGCCATGGTGCAACTATCTTAGGAACAGTGACAAGCCGGGTTTTGTCTTGTTCCGTACTGGTAGTCAATTGGCTAGCGAGTGTGTAAGTTGTGTTGCGATGAAAACATCCAAGGCGAATGTCGCGAACCTCGAAAGGAAAAGTGGGGGGGAAGGGGTGGGGGGAAGGGAAGGGGGGAACACACACGAAACGGGAAATGGGACCACATCAACACCCCCATACTCCCTTTCGCTGATTGTTCTGCCAATAACACCTCCACATTGCAAAACGATAAACCTTATGTTTCACAAAAGCTTTGCAAAATACATATTTCACTTACAAGGATTATTTTGGTTTATTTATCCATCCATTTGCAAGAGTATTATTTCTAATGGGGAGAAAGAACATCAACTGTACAGACGTGCAAGACTTGGAATGTCATATTGAAATCCTTATCATGCAAAGGATCGCAAGCAAACAACATGGCATAATCCAAGGAGAGCCGATTTTTACACTCCGATCCACTATTGGTGCAGCTGTCCATTTACAGGGAGGAGGGGGGAGGGGAAAAGGGGAAGGAAACGTTGCGCATTATTGAAGAATGTTAGGTAGGGAAATTGAAGAGAGCATGGAAACTGAGATATGATAGACAACCTTCAGTGGCCAAGCAAAGCTGGTACTGTCGGGTGGGCTGGACGAGAGAACGTAGTGGAAAGGGAAGGGACGGTAGTGGGGAAAGGCGAGGGGCAGGGGAGGGGGGAAAGGGATGGCTGAGAGAAGCGTGAATGGTGGGAGAGGACAGTAGGAAAGGGAAGGGATGTGAGAGAGGGGGAGGAAAGGTGGGAGGGAAGGACAGGGGGAAAGGGAGAGAAGGACAGGGGGAAATGGAGAGGAGGACAGGGGGAAAGGGAGAGGAGGACAGGGGAAAAGGGAGAGGAGGACAGGGGGAAATGGAGAGGAGGACCGGGGGAAATGGAGAGGAGGACAGGGGGAAAGGGAGAGGAGGACAGGGGGAAAGGGAGAGGAGGACAGGGGGAAAGGGAGAGGAGGACAGGGGGAAAGGGAGAGGAGGACAGGGGGAAAGGGAGAGGAGGACAGGGGGAAAGGGAGAGGAGGGCAGGGGGAAAGGGAGAGGAGGACAGGGGGAAAGGGAGAGAAGGACAGGGGGAAAGGGAGAGGAGGACAGGGGGAAAGGGAGAGGAGGACAGGGGGAAATGGAGAGGAGGACAGGGGGAAAGGGAGAGAAGGACAGGGGGAAAGGGAGAGGAGGACAGGGGGAAAGGGAGAGAAGGACAGGGGGAAAGGGAGAGGAGGACAGGGGGAAATGGAGAGGACAGGGGGAAAGGGAGAGAAGGACAGGGGGAAAGGGAGAGAAGGACAGGGGGAAAGGGAGAGGAGGACTGGGGGAAAGGGAGAGGAGGACAGGGGGAAAGGGAGAGGAGGACAGGGGGAAATGGAGAGGAGGACAGGGGGAAAGAGAGAGGAGGACAGGGGGAAAGGGAGAGGAGGACAGGGGGAAAGGGAGAGGAGGACAGGGGGAAAGGGAGAGGAGGACAGGGGGAAAGGGAGAGGAGGACAGGGGGAAAGGGAGAGGAGGACAGGGGGAAAGGGAGAGGAGGACAGGGGGAAAGGGAGAGGAGGACAGGGGGAAAGGGAGAGGAGGACAGGGGGAAAGGGAGAGGAGGACAGGGGGAAAGGGAGAGGAAAACAGGGAGGGCACTGCCCAAGAGAAGTTGATGCTGAGGACCGGGCAAGGGATCGGAAAGGGGGAGGCATTGGAGAGGGGGAAATTGGATTATTCCGGGAGGTGACAGGGTGGGACGCGAGATGCTTCGCCACCGTCGCACAGATGCTTCGCCCCGCTGCTCGCTATCGTCGCCCTGGTGCTTGCTATCGTTGCCCTGGTGCTCGCTATCGTCGCCCTGGTTGTCGCTATCGTCGCCTTGATGCTCGCTATCGTCGCCCTGGTGCTCGCTATCGTCGCCCTGGTGCTCGCTATCGTCGCCCTGCTGCTCGCTATCGTCACCCCGCTGCTCATATCGTCGCCCCGCTGCTCGCTATCGTCGCCGCACCGCTCGCTATCGTCGCCCCGCTGCTCATATGCGACCACCGATATCTAGCTATCGTCGCCCCGCTGCTCGCCACCGTCGCACCCATTCCTGCCTGTCGCTACCGTTGCGCCTTTGCTACCGCAGATACGTGAGGAATGGAGGGGCGGGAGAGGAATAAGGACGGCAACGGAGGAAAACGAGCGCAATGCGCTTCGAATACGACAAAAAATGTGTTTACGAGGTAGGAAATTGCGCAGATATTCGTGAGCACATCAATAGACCATGAAACGCGAGAAATCTTAGCGGAAATGGCTCTGCGTAGCACGGAAAACGCACTTCAAGTTAGTAAGAACCTGTTCAAGCGTGAGAGTTTGCCGAGTTTGAGTTGTTTTGAGTTCAAGTTTGAATTTTCAAGTTTGCTGCATGCGATCCCCCTCAATTCGTTGAGCGGAGCTTTTCCCCGAGCCCTCCCCCGTTTCCCCCCCACACACATCATACTGCGAAGGACTTTTCCGCACGCCCTTCCCCCGCTGGCAGAAACCTCTCCCTGCTCGCTTTCCTGTGTATACTGGGTTACGCGGCTTTCAAACTATAATAGTTTGAACTGGAGCCCGGATATCTGCACCGCGGCTTTAATCGTTTACCTGCGCACTCTCTTTTACAACTCATAACAGTTGGGCGGAAACCGCAACCCCGAACCAAGCAGGGTTACCTGAGTGAGCCGCAGCAGGCAGAGAGTTCCTCACCGCACCTGAGCAACGCCCCACCGCTTCCTGCGGCGAACATTGTTACCTGCGGGACAACATGACACAGCGAGGTATCCAGTACACGTACGCAAGGCGACTCCAACACCTCCATCGGGCTGCCACCGCATTACACCACATTCTCAAATCTTGCCTTAGTGATTGCGTCCGCAGAAACCGCCGAACATTACGCCGTTGCAAATGGGAAGTCGAGCACACCTGAACCCACTCTATCGATTTTAGCGGAATGGCTTCCCACGAGTGCGTGTCACTCCTGAAATGGCACCTGGCAGTCGGCGGGCCTCCGCACGACGGAATTATACGACGATGGGGAAATAATTGCGACAGGTAGCGCGGCGGAGACGGCACCTGAAAGCGCAGATGGAGCAGTCAAAGCAAGCGACGAAAGGCTCACCTTGCGTAGTCCGACTCTCTCCTCAGGAGCGTCGCCCATGCCGCTATAAGAGGGATGGGTCTCGCACTCCCATCGTTACCCTTGCTTCTTAATACCTACATCCCTATTAGTGCGGCCGCCGGTGCGCAGACCTAACAGCTACTAGCTAACCGCCGTCGATCCTATATTAGCTCCATCCCTTGTAGTGCGACCATCTTCATCCTCCACATGGCGGTTTTCCCAAGAGCTGGACTCGCATCTCCAGCCATGGCCCAGATGACGTCACTCTCTCGCTCGCCTGCCTTCGACGTTACGCGCCTCGCCGTCACCATCGTCACCATCGCTGGTGAGCCCACATCTCCTATGCGCCGCTTCCTCTGCCATGTCGCCACCGCGCCCGCCTCATGCTCGATTCGCGGCGAATTTATTGTTTGTGTCTTCACACTGAGTTTATTCGCCATGTGCGCACCCACACGCGCACCTGCCCACATCGCGCTTCCATACCCCGGTGCCTCCGCACCTCACTGTCGCTCTGCGCGAATTTCCCCGGCTTCCACGCAGCAATTCACCTCACCGCGGTTACCTGTTTCCCATCATGCTTTGCTGTACCACCCCATCGTTTGTGTGTGCAGCGCTGCTCTCACTTGGCCTCTGCGCCACACCCGCCGGCAAGCGCCGCTTGCTGCGGGAGGGGAGCAGCGGCATCGTGACTGTAACGACGACGACCACCAACAGCACCACCACGAGCACCAGCGTGAGCAACAGCACCATGTACGGCCCTGATGGCACCGTTATAAGCACTGGCGGCGCCGTCAACACCACCTTCAATGGGACCACAAGTGGGAGCAGCACTGGGAGCAGCGGCGGGACGAGCAGCGGAGGGACGAGCAGCGAAGGGACGAGCACTTTAAACACCAGTACTCCCATAAAATGTAAGCTCATGCACATGTGTCACTGCACATGTGTCACTGCACATGTGTCACTGCACATGTGTCACTGCACATGTGTCACTGCACATGTGTCACTGCACATCTGTCACTGCACATGTGTCACTGCACATGGGTCGCTGCACATGGGTCGCATCACATGTATCACTGCACTCAATGGCCATTATCCTTCTCTGCCGACTGATTCCTTACCGCCCATGCCTAGCTCGCTTCCTGTTTTCAGCGTTCGTGCTGCCTCAGAGTGTGGCTCAACCCTTCGATTGTTTCCGCTTGTATGCACTGCAGACCAAGGTTACTCAGAGCTCAACCGCGGGTCTAGCCCAAACGCCATATTCAACCTTTATGTTAGCATGTAAGTGTACCGTGATCACATCTTCTTCAACCACTCCTTGCTCATTCTTAAATGATTGTTGAGGCTCACTCCAGCTCCCACAGTCAACGCCTCCCGATGCTCTACTACCCACTGCAGGTCGTAGACTAAAGGTGTGTGACATGAATTCGTTCGTTTCTGCCCGTTCAGTTCAAACCTCTCGCTAGCCCCTGCATCTCTCCGCTGTGCCTCACCCCTGTGTCTCACCCTTGTGCCTCACCACTATGCCTCACCCCTGTGTCTCACCCTTGTGTCTCACCACTATGCCTCACCCCTGTGTCTCACCCCTGTGCTTCATTCCTGTTTCTCACCCCTCACATTCGCAGTTCAGCGTCACAGCAAAGTATGAACTTCAACGTCCTCGTCTTGAGTGTGCCAGACAAGCCAACACCGGTCTTCTCCGGTCCGGGCTACTACACCAGCGCAGGCCAGCTTGTGGCGGAATTTCCAGGTTGCATTCCCACAGCCACCAATGTGCCTGGTAACTATATCCACGGTTATAGGAATTCCAAAAATCTTGCCGTGCCGTACAAGCCAGTCGAGAGGACCAAGGTGCTGTTGGATGCAGGGCTGTTCACCAATCCCAAGGGCTTCTATGCGGCGATTAAAGTCAATGGCGCAGAACTGCGCGGAGCCATCAATACCACTATTGCTATCCTGTGATTGGCTGGGCCATGTCATAGCATACGCTGTTAATATATGCTATTGAATTGCCATGCCGCCGGTTACTGTAGTAAATATGATCCGGGTGGCCTGTCGGACCTCCCCCTCTCCCCCCGAAATAGGTTTTTTTTTTTTTTTTTTTTGTTAGAGGATCTTGGATAAGATAGGTCTGCCTTAGAGAGATTTGGTAGCGGAAGTTTTGTGGTAGGAACCTTGTGCATAGTGAATGTAAGTGACAAGGATTCATTAAAGGACCAAGTTATATGCAGTATCGTAAATAGATCCAGCTAGCCATGTACTCTAAGGAGTACATTTCCTTATTCTAACTGTTTTACGGGCAGTTCTACAGTAACTCTTGTCAAACTTATATGCTGCTTATTGTGTAGGCTATAGTAAAATACCCATATGGGGTACAACCCAATTAGGGTTAGCACTTGTACCCATCCTGCTGTTAGTCAATTCATTCTCGTTCGTACTTCTGACATGGTTTCAGAGCAGGTCCTAGCCTAGGTTCGTTTCCTTAGGGCCCACAGAGTAGCGCTACCCCACCTGTCGCGCCACCGTGATCGCATCGCCCTGCCCTGCCCTGCCCTGCGTCACGCTGCCTGCGCACGCCCTGCCCTGCCCGCGCGCTGCCCGCGCGCTGCCTGCCGCAGCGCGCTCTGCTTTTCCCATGCGCCGCCCGCCGCTGCGCGCCCTGCCTTGCCAGCGCGCCCTGCCCTGCCCGCGCGCTGCTCCGCCGCGCGCCCTGCCCAGCGCGCGCGCCGCGCCGCCGTGCACCCTGCCCTGCCGCTGCGCCGTCCTGCCTTACCTGCGCGCCGCGCCGCCGCGCACCCTGCCCTGCCGCGGGCCCTGCCCTGCCGCGCGCCGCTCGCTGCTGCGTCGCCCTGCGCCGCCCTGCCTTGCCTGCGCGCTGCCCTGCTACTAGTGCGCTCGCCTGCCTAGCCCTGCCTGCGTGCTGCCCTGCTGCTAGTGCGCCCGACCGCTCTGCCCGCTATGACCACGCTCAATGTTCTCACGTTCGATCCGGAGGGCCGCCCGATAGAGTTTGATGCGTGGCTCGACGACTTACATCTATTCTTACTAAGCGATTCCAAGGACGGAGTCCCACTGTTTGACCTCACTTCTGGCGCCTCTGTTGCCCCTGCCGCCACAGCTGACAGTGTAGCTCGCTCCCAGTGGCTTACTCGTGACGCTGCTGCTTGCCTAGCCGTTCGCAACCACCTGCCGTTAGCCGAACGCGCTCACTTCGGACAGCACAAGACTGCGAAAGCATTGTACGAAGCTGTAGTTGCTCGTTACTCCTCCCCGGCCACTGCTGCTCTAGGCCGCCATCTCCTGCCCTACCTGTTCCCAGATCTGTCTGCCTTTGCCACAGTAGCCGACCTCGTCACTCACCTTCGCACTAGTGACACTCGCTACCGTGCTGCGCTTCCCGCCGAGTTTCTCACCAAGAACCCTCCTCCCATGTACATCACTCACTACTTCATAGTCACCCGCCTCCTTGACTCTCTTAGCGCTGTCAGGGACCTCCTTCTAGCCCTTGACCCCACCGACCTCACTGTCGACCTGCTCGAGAAGCACCTCCTTGCAGCTGAGATTAGCGTAGTCGCTGTAGGCGCTTCTCGTGGCACTCCTTGCACTCCCTTCTTTGAGGGGTGTTCGCCCTCCCCCCTTCTCCCCTAAATAGCCTCTGCTGCAGCTGTTGACTACCTTCGTTCTGAGGAGGTAGGAGCTGCGTCTGCCCCTAGTGGGAGGCGCCGTAGCGGCAGGGGCAGGGGAGGCAGGGGCGGTGGAGGCGGCAGAGGTGGAGGCGGCTGTGGAGGCGGTGGAGGCGGTGGAGGGGGCGGCGGTGGCGGGGGGAGTGGTGGTGGGGGTGGAGGTGTAGGTGGCGGCGGTGGTGGCGGCCGTGGCGGTAGCGGCGGCGGCAGTGGTGGCGGCAGTGGGAGTGGAGGCGGCGGCAGTGGTGGCGGCCGGGGTGGTACCAGTCAGAGAGGAGGCCTTGGCGGTGGTCAGAGGCAATAGCAGCAGCGTCAGCTTTCGCCCCAGGAGCTACGTGAGTGGTTTCCTCAACGTGGGGTGGCTGCGGGTAGTGGTCCCTGCCTGTATGTCATTAGTACAGGTGACCGCACTGGTTAGACATGCAGGAGGCTTCACAACCAGTATCGCTGCTTCTCTCGTCTTACCGACGCCTTCTGAGCTCCCCCGCTGGGCGGAGCTGCTTAAGCAGGGTGTAGACATCTTTGCTCTTGATTATGATGCTATCCTTTCTGCCATGTATGCATTGACTGTTAGTGTTGAGGGTGACTGTTACCTGTGTATGCCGCCAGGCCCAGGTATAGAGGCTGCTACTCGAGGTGCTAGTGAGTCTGCTGCTCTAGGTGCTGGTGAGTCTGCTCTCTCTGGTACTGAGTCTGTTGCGGCCCTGCACACCTTCACGCTTGACTCAGGTGCTTCCCGCTGTTTCTTTCGCGACAGTGCCACAGTCACACCGCTCTCTGCACCTGTTGTTGTCTCTCGAGCTGACCCCTTCGGGGGCCCAGTCCTTGCACGTTCCTCCACTGTTCTGCCCTGTCCGGCGGTTCCGTCTGGGTCACTGTCAGGTCTCCACCTCCCCTCGTTCTCTACAAACTTGGTGAGCAACGCCGTCCTTAAGGATCAGTGGGTTGATACCTTCACCCCTGGAGGACAGCGTGTGGCGATCTGTACGTGCTCCCGGACTGGTAGGCACCTAGCCACGT